GTCGCAGCCCAACCCCGCCCGTCCGCGGGGCGTTCCCTGGCGCGCTGGCCCGTCCCCTGGCGCGTTCCTTCCAACGTCCTGGCGTGACTCGCCCTGGCACGTCCCTTCGCGCGCTCCTCGGCGTGGCACATTCCCTGGCTCGTCCTCTGTCTCGTTTCCTGGCTCTTCCGCAGGCGTTTCCCCTGCCCGTTCCGTGGCGCCCCTTGCCACGTCCCTTGACATGACGTCCACGGCCCGCCCAATGTCACGCGCCGTGGCACGTCCCGTGCACGTCCAGGGCACGTCCGTTAATACGTCCCCTGACACGTCCCCTGGCGTATCCCATATTGCGCCCCTGGCAAATCCTGTGGCGCGCCCGTGAGCCTGTGCCCCGTGTCGTGTCGTCCCTTTTCGGAGTTGAGTCGGATTTTGATCTCGAGTTGAATGAACGTCCCGCACGTTTCGTCTTCAACTAGCTCTGGGCCAGCTACTATGTGCTCAGGCATCTCGAGCTTAAGACCCAGATCAGTTCGGTCAGGAGTCGGATGCTAACGAGGACTCGATCCACAACACTGTAAAGCACAATCGCGGAATGGCACATCGTAATTCAGCACGGCGCAGCACAGCACAGACCTTGGCATGGTACGTCAACATCGATACATTCAGCATTGCAACTGCCCGTCGCCCAATCAGGCGTCTTGAAAACGTTGCCGAGCCGCACATTCCTACATGTTCCTTTCTGGATTCGTGGGCCGATCATGTTCTCGGAACCTTTTGACGAGGATGCCCGGCTGTCGATGCACAGTGGAGCTCATCTTCGAGGCGCGCCCCGCCCCCGCCACCCCGCACAACGCGTGGCGCGAGCAGCCCTCGAGCGCCCCCCACTCGAGTTTCTCCGCGTGTGTGGGGGCATCGGGGACGCAGGGCTCGGCGCTCTCGGAGGGGTGGCCAGGCGAGGCGCGCAGGCTCCACACGGGGAGCGCGCCGAAGTCCAGGCCATGGGCAGCCGTGCGTGCGGAGGGCCGGGCAGGCGCCCGAGAGGAGCAGAGGCGTGCGCGACCGCCGCGGTGTCGCTGCCGAGTTCCAGCAGCGTCCGGTGCAGCCACTGCTCCGGGGCAGGGCGCGCCGCTCCGGCCCAGGCTGTCTGGGTCACATCATCGGAGGAAGGAGAAGCGACACCACCACCACCACCACCACCACCACCACCACCACCACCACCACCACCACCACCACCACCACCACCACCACCACCACCACCACCACCACCACCACCACCACCACCACCACCACCACCACCACCACCACCACCACCACCACCACCACCACCACCACCACCACCACCACCACCACCACCACCACCACCACCACCACCACCACCACCACCACCACCACCACCACCACCACCACCACCACCACCACCACCACCACCACCACCACCACCACCACCACCACCACCACCACCACCACCACCACCACCACCACCACCACCACCACCACCACCACCACCACCACCACCACCACCACCACCACCACCAGGGCTGGGGCACGGGCATCTCCAGCGAGGAGGTCAAGGATGCCTCCCCGAGTTTGGGATAGGGCATGTCTCGAGCGAGAAGGGGGGGCACACCACCAGCGGGACTCCCCTTGGCTCCTCCCGCTGGTGGTCTCTGGTGGTGGCGCTTTTCCTTGTCCCTAACAACAACCGAGCCTGCCCTGAGCATCTCTTGGCGCTGATTCATCGGGGGCGTGCAGGCGCCATGAGTGGATCGTATCAGCCCAATTTCTGGACAGTGGGGGTAGCCCCGGCTGAATACTGTCAGTTTTCGCCTCTGATTGGGCTCGCAGTTAATAGCTGTCTTGATCCATGCGCTTACCAGCCGCAGCTTTTAGGGACAGAGTCCCCACCATAGCTACCTGGACTGTTGAATGCTTCCGTTCTATCTGATCAGTTCTGCTTGATGCTCCTACGCAAGCTCTGCGTGGGCAGCCTCAGCGTCTTGTTCATATTTGAGAGCGCTGCCAACTGCCCATGGGCAGCTGCATCGGCATGGCGAACACTTGTACAGCGCCTGGACTGAGATTCTGATGTCGCTTGCGTGCTGTTGGTGTCTAGTCGCCATCCCGCAACCGTGCCTGGGTCGTGGACAAGATTCCTCATATAAGTCTCTTTGGGTCTTTTGGGCGGTCTCTTCTAGGGGGCCTCTTGCGGGCCTCTTGGAGGTATCTTGGGTTCTCTTTGGCGATTTTTTGGGGGAGAATGGGCATCTTAGGGGCCTCTTGGGGGCCCGCTGGCGGTCTTGAGAGCCATCTTGGGGGAAAGCCTCGAAATGTCGGTTCGGGTTTCCCTTCCGGGGCCCCTCTTAGGGCCGTCTTGAGGGCCTCTTGGGCCCTCTTGGGCCCTCTTGGGGGCCTCGGGGGCCGTCGCGAGGCGATCTGTGGGACCTCGGGGGCCGTCTGGGGCGCCCTTCAGATTGGAAAGCCGTACATGCAGTAGACGGGCTAACGGCGATGTATGTAACGGCGATGTAGGTTTCGGTAGTGTGGGAACGCGTGGCACGCGCTTTCCTGCAGTTCGCTGTGTCGTGTTCGCTCGATCCGTTGGCAGATAGGAGATGTAGGAAGGTGTGGTTCGTGATCTCCCTACAACCTGGTTCCCATGGTTCCCAACGTTAGGAAGGTGTGGTTCGTGATCTCCTAGAAGTTGGTTCCCAACATCACCGTTAAGCAACATCGCCGTTAGCCCGGCCTTGGTGTGCTGGACTGGCCCAGGGCCTTCCAGGGATCTGGCCGATGCTGGCTCCACGGGCCGGCCTCGAGACAGCTCCAGAGGCCTTCGCAAGGGCTGCGGGGCGGGCCCCACGGGACCATCCGAGGGCATGCGCGCACTGCGTGTCCCAAGAGACATCGAAGAAGAACCAACTGCATAAGCATCGGATTTTGGCGCTCCGCGCGGACTTCTTGGATCCGCGTTGGGCCCCCCCGGCGGCGCCTCCAGCGCCGCCCCTGGCGCGCTTCGTGCGCCAGGGAGGAGGGTCCAGCGCAGATCCGAGAAGTCCGCGCGGAACTCCCAAAAGTTTAATGTTCATGCCGCTGTCCTGTTTCTATGCGTGTCCCAAGAGACAGGTTTTGCATCCCCCGGCGATTCCAGGCGTGACAGGGGGGGACGGGAGAAGGGAGGGGGCTTTGGTCACGTCGCGATTCGCGCTGGCGCCAGCCGGCGAGCGCTTGGGCATGACTGGCTCCCAGACGGCGCCGGCGCGAGCGGTGACGTGACCAGGGGGGGGGAGGCGGGGTGGGTGGGGCGGGGCGGCGGGTCACGGGTGCTATCGCGAAAATGGTAAGCAAGTGGCTCCAATCTTCAGGAGAGAAACAGGGGCCACCGCCACCGAGCACCCATCGGGGGGGACCGCCTTGTATTTCCTTTTATGTACATATATATATATATATATATTGTTCTCTGTTTTTTATGTTGTTTTGTTTTTTATTTGGGGGATTGTGTTTGGCCGTTCCCCCCCCCTCCCCCCTCCTCCCCCGATGCGCTCTCGGTGGTGGCCGCCCTGCTCTCTCCGCCGGGGTCTGCGGTCCCGAGGCCGACGGAGAGGAGCACCGTGAGAGCGCCCGCAGATGCTCAGGAGGGAGGGAGGAGGAGGAGGAGGAGGAGGAGGAGGAGGAGGAGGAGGAGGAGGAGGAGGAGGAGGAGGAGGAGGAGGGAGGGGAGGAGGAGGAGGAGAGGAGGAGGAGGAGGAGGAGGAGGAGGAGGAGGAGGAGGAGGAGGAGGAGGAGGAGGAGGAGGAGGAGGAGGAGGAGGAGAGGAGGAGGAGGAGGAGGGGGAGGAGAAGGGAGGAGGGAGAGAGGATGCAGGAGGGAGGGAGGAGGAGGAGGAGGAGGAGGAGGAGACTCGGAAGTGTGGGCTTCACGATGCTGAGGACTCGAAGGGGCCCGAGGCCATTCTACTCAATGCCCTGCGGCAAGGCGGCGGGTACAATAATGTAAGATGCTGTGCACAGGCGCGGAGCCAGCAAGAAAAAAAGGAGGTGGGACTCATCGAGCAAGGCGAGCGCCCAGTCGATGCTCTGCAGTGGCGATCTGAGGTCGGATGCCCCAGCTCCTGCGGCAAACCCCGTGGGCGCGCCAGAGCCGCGTCGCAGCATGTGCAGGATGGCTCTGCTGAGCCGCCCCGAGAAGGCTCGGTATAACGAGGGTTGTGCTCCCCGCGAGCCCCCACAGGGTGCTTCTGAGCCTTCTTGGACGCGCTGGGTCTACCGAGTCTTTGGGAAGTGCTCGATCGAGCTATCCTGGGGAGCCGTCTGGTGAGCCACGCGCAGAAGCGCGTGACAGCATAGTACTTCGACTATGTCCAGTCTCTGGCACAATGTCATTCGGCTTTTCTCTCGCTCCTCTGCTCTTCTGCGTCTGTTGTGCGTGATCATCGAGCGCAGGGATTGGTTCTGGAGTCCAGGTTGGAACGACCGACCGGCCTCTCCCATTCCCTCTCAATCCAGGCTTGCGTGTCCACCCGATGGTAGAGTTTTCCTTTCCCTCGCCCTTGCCCCCCCCTCAGCATTCCCTCCAACTCCCGCTTCCGCTTCCGCTTCTGCTTCTGCTTTCCGCTCCCGCTGTAGCTGCTCCTGCTCCTGCTGCCGCTGCCGCTGTCGCTGCTGCTGCCGCTGCCGCTGCCGCCCCTCCTGCTCTTTCCGCTGCTGCTGCCGCGGCCGCCAACGCCGCCGCCGCTTGTTTGGATTGAGTCTCAAGCGCAATGAAGCAACGAGGCCATGCGCTTCGCCATCTGGGGGCTCGAGCCAAATTGCCGACGGTGTAGCATCAAATGAACACCGTCGACGATAGGCCGCCAACGCCGCCGCCGCCGCCGCCGCCGCCGCCGCCGCCGCCGCTGCTCCTCCTCCTCCTCCTCCTCCTCCTCCTCCTCCTCCTCCTCCTCCTCCTCCTCCTCCTCCTCCTCCTCCTCCTCCTCCTCCTCCTCCTCCTCCTCCCCCCCCCCGCATTTTCCCTCCTCCGGCGAGGCCCTGAGCGACCGGCAGGATTGCCGCGCGAAGATCTACTCGGTGCTGCTGCGCGCGGACTTCCAGTGCCAGGAGGCGCTCGGCATCGCTGAGAGGCAACAGGCTGGACACCCTTCCCTCTTTTCCCCTCCCCCCTTCCTCCGAAGGCCGAAAACCATCACGTCTCTAATTTGGGGACCCAGGGCCCACTGAGGCCCCAGGGGCCCCAGATTAGTGAAGTGATGTTTTTTCCCACGTAAGGACCCCGAAATTCATCACTTCACTAAACCGAGCCCAGGACGAAAGTCAGAGGCCGAATTGCTGCTGTGATGCAACATCGGTCTCGTACTTCCGCTCTCCCTTTCCGCCCTCCGTCCCAATCTCGGGGAACAGACACTGACATAGGCATAAACTCTCGAAGGTCCGTGTGGACTTCTCGAATCGGCCCTTCGGTGCCGCCCCCTAGCGCGCTCCGCGCGCCAGGGAAGGGGGTCCAGCGCCGATCGGAGAAATCCATTCTCAGTTCCGCGATCATCCCCGTGCCTCTCCCCCTTCCTTGCCGCCCCCCCCCCCCTCCCCCCGACGAGGCCTTCATCTGCCCTCCCCGGGCTGCGTCCGCGCCCGCCGGGCGGTGGAAGTAGGGGTGGATGGGTGGGGGAGGGGATGGCGGGAGGGAGGGAGCGAGGGAGGGACCCAGACCCCCTCGAGTAATGAAAAAATCACGACGGGAGGTTTTTCCTAATTTTCGGCCTCTGGGGGCCCTCACCGGGCCTCGGGAGCGTCAAAAAACGACTCAGGATGCAAAGCCGGTCATGGGGAATGGGTCGGGACCTCTGGAGGGCGACGTAATGAAAAAATCATTACGTCGGGGGTCTGGGGAGGCCGGAGGGAGAGGCGTCTGGGGCGTTCCAGAAAGGGCCCCGCCTTCGAGGGTCGAAGGAGTTGCCATCTCTTCTTCGGCGGCAGGCGGCGGCAGGGCGGCGGAATGCCGCGGAAGTGACACGAGGGCGACTCCGCTCGCAGGAGCCGGTGGAAGGCCGGCGGAAGGCGGCGGAAGTAAAAGTTGCGCCCCCCCCCCCCCCAAAGAGGGCAAGGTTTTTTGACACTGGGTTTCTGGAGCCCGCCGTGTGGGGAGAGGGAGGGAGGGAGGGACCAGGAAGGGAGAGAGAGGGAGGGAGCGCGGCAGCGAGTGAGGGAGGGAAGTGGGCGAGGGGGAGGGCTGCTGCGGGGGAGGGGGAGGAGGGGTCGGCTGGCGCCCACGGTGGGTGCTGCGGGGGCAGCAGCTGGAGGGCAGCAAGGGGCGAGCCGGCGGCGGCGTGGCTTCGCTCTGCCTCGGGACCCGCCCGCCCCGCCTCCCCCCCTTAGGAGGCGGCGCTGGGGGGGCGGCCCGGCTTCCCTGGCCGGCCGGTCCCGCAGCGGTGCTCGCCGAGGCCTGCCGCGACGCAGCGCGGGATCGAGTGGCGAGCACGGGCATGGGTAGCGAAGCTCACGGAGTTCGAGCAAGCTCTCCTTTCCTCCCTCTCCATCCTTCATCCTCCTGTCTCCTATGTAGCTAGCTACCTACCTACTTACCTATCTACCTACCCATCTACCTACCGACCGACCAACCGATCGACCGACCGACCGACCTACCTATCTACCTACCTACCTACCGACCTACCCACTTTCCTGCTTACCTACCTACCTACCTCCCGACCTTCTGACCTACCGACCTACCTATCTACCGACCTTCTGACCTATCGACCTGCCGTCCTACCGACCTACCGACCTACCGACCTACCGACCTACCGACCTACCCACCTACCTACCTACCCACTATGTGTGACTGTGTGAGTACAGTGCACACAGGGTCATCGTACAATTACAACAATGCTTAAAGTGGGGAAGCTGTGTCGCTCTCAAAGCCCTGAGTTCGTGGCTGCGAGGACTGATGGGCCGGTGCGTGCATTGGACGTAGGTAAGAACCCCCCGTTGAGCCTCCTATTTTCGAGCAAGAAGTACGGTTGCAAGGCCTCAGTAGCTTACGTCCTGCCTTGCACGTAGTAAACCCGCCGCAGACATCACAGAAAACCGCAGGGAGGCTGCTGCCTTCGACCCAAGAAACGTGAAGGGCATGCTGCTTGCAGGGGACTCTCAAAAACTCAGAGAGAGAGAGAGAGAGAGAGGGGTTGATGCCACCTCATTCCGCCCTTCGGCCACGTTTGCAGCACATAGTAGGTGGCCCAGACCTGTTGCCCAGGAGGCTGAAGCAGAGGTTGCACCGCCTCCGCCCTTCGTGCCACACAGGTACGTGTAGGGTCAGGAGCTTGTGGGGTGGCCTCCGTGGCCCAATCCGAACCCGACCCAACTCACCCAACTCCCCGAACGAAGGCTTCTCCTCAAGCACCGTCCCCGTGCCATGCTTTGAGATTTTGTGCGTCTGGGTGGTGAACTTAGCTGTGCAGAGAGCAAGTTGCTGAAGCCATGGGATCTGGCAGCCGGTCCTGCTTAGTAGTCCGCTAGTTTGCTCCCGCTAACAACAAACACGAGCGACTTCCCTCCAGATGCGGGCCTGTGCGGCCTGAGGGTTGGCTCCCGGACAAGGCCCACGAGTGGGCCCTTCCCGCTTTGAGGAGGGTCGCATACTCGGCAAACGGATTTCCTGACTGGCACGCATCTTCTGAGTAGTGTGCAGCAATCATGGTTGCACAGTGCTCCGCCGTGCCACTGCTTTGTTCCATGTTGCCTGGAACCGCCGCCCTGATGTCTCTCAAAAGGTTGCCAGCTTCGTCCACCTGCACCGCGCTAATTTCAGCGCGGGAGAGGTGGCTGAGGCGGGGGAAGAGGCACGATCCGTCTGTGAAGAGCAAAGCCCCAGCATGGGACTCGAAAGGATCGGTTCCTTCACCGTCGGTGTCAAAGAAAAAGGAAATCCCAGTCTCCGACTGGGGGCTCTCCATAAGTGTCGGGCCTTGCTAGCCACGCTCTGCTGGACAGAAGGGAGCTCGGGCCATTTGACACCGCTTGTTGAATAAGCTCGGGCGGGAAAACCTCTCCCCTCACGGCCGTGGCTTGAGGATCGTCACAGGTCCAAGCCCTGTGCCACGCTCTGTCATTCTTCCCACATGTCGGCAACGACTGCTGTACTTTCAGCCCAACTTGGTGAGGGTGAGGGTAGCACCTGTGGGGACGGTGCCACAACAAAGCTGTTTGACTCTCGCTTTCTGGGCCAGGGTCAAGTCGAGCTTATTGGAGGCTGCTTCTGCTTGGTAAGCTCCCACCTGAGCCCTCTGCCCTCTGGAGCAAAGATCCTGAGTGTCGAAGCCGGTCCTACTGCGAGCAGCTTTCGCGATCTTTTGGGTGTGTATATTTTTAAGTTGGTGGATGAATCTCTGAGAGACCCTGGAAGGGGAGACTTCCGTGAGGTGAATGGGGGATCCATTGGAGTCAGCCAGACTGCCAGGTTGCATGACACTCTAGCCCGCCACTTCGCACCAAAAGTGGGCGTCAGAGGTAAGGCGCTTAGTGCGATCAGCAACGGTTTTTGCCACCTGTCTCATTCAAACACTCACAGGCGGAGATCGTCGCATTGGAGAGCAGCTGCGGTCTGAGCACATCCTGGTGGACATGCTCGTGCTGGTGGAAGGCGGTGGTAATCTGGCATTAAGCTGCATACCTAGCAATACTTCTTGAGTCAATGTCGATGGGATCCTGAAAAGGCGTGATTGCCCAACCAAGATCTAGTTGTGCTTCTCTGGAAGCAACCCCTGAGTCCTTCCCGCAGAGCTCCTGGGTTGCCGCACTTGATGTGGGCTGAACGCATGGACATCTGCATCGCAAGTCAAGGTAGCCTTCACGTTGGTCGGGAATAGCATGTTCCTGTGTCCAGCCTTACGGGTCTCCTCATCTTCTTCCTACTGGCCTCATGGTTTCCCCACCTCTTCGCTCTTGTTTTCCTGATCCCAGGGCATTGCCTATGGCGTCCTCCCGAGAAATTGACCCCCAAGTTAGCAACGTCGTGGTCATGAGGGTGGCCAGGGGGGCGATACGATGCGTGGCAAATTCGTATCATCAGCCATCTGGCTTCTATCCCTCCTCTCCCCTCGCTTTCCTTCCTCCTTCTCTGCTTCCTCCACCCGAGTCCGGGGCTACTGCAGACACAGCGGCCATTCACATAAGCGACCGCTCGTCTATGCGAGCGGACGCTCCAGGTCCATTCATGCGCACGGCTTCTGTGGGAGCTCAGTGGCTTCACGACTGCGTCGCTGAGCTTGTCATCGTGCTGCTGTGTCCGCTCCCCCTCCTTCCCTCCGAAATTGCGCTGGCAAAAGCACATGGTGGTCATCAGGAGTGAGATCTCCCTGTTGAGCCCTGGCGAGTTTCAACATAGGTCCCGACGATGACGCGATACCGAGCTTCTGATACGCAAGGATAACCTTCAAATCGGTCACCACTTATTCGTGAACTTCGACAGCCAAACGTTTAAGAGTACCATCGACCCAGTGCATGTCTGGGCCCCACTGCTGGAGCATGATATCGACAACCTCGGACTTCGTGACGTGTTGCTCGTGAATCCTGTCTACACCTGGCACGAGGAAAAGTTTTGCCTCGTACGTAGCAGTTGCCGATGCTGCTACGATGCCCCATACCAGCAGCTTCGCCTAAGGCGAAGCCCAGCTCCAACTCTGTTGTACCCTAGTAACGTAGTCCCAGAAATAGGAGGTCGTCGCGGGAGCGACGGGCCATCTCAAGCGAAGATGTTTTCGGTCTCGATGGCAAGTAGTGTGCCTCGCGATCAGGCGCAGTCATAGCTCGGCGGCCGGCCGCTTGAACACAAACGGCCGCGGACAAACGCTCGCTATCTCTCGCCTTTGCCCCGATCTTTAGAGTGGCTGACCCACTTCTTAGGAACAGGTACGCAGCTCTTGTCCTAACTTTGCGAGCCAGGTAGAGACCATCTGTTTCCAGGAGCACAGAATTATCCAGAATACAACAAGCCCTTCGGGTCGTGAGTGGTTTAGGGTGGTTTTTCTTCCATATTCCCTTTGCCCCTTCGGGAAGGGGATATCCCTCCCCCATACCCCCTCCCCCTGGGTCTGGACGGGGCCTGTCGCGATGTGTCAGAGGGTTTTTTGTTGGCCGCG